ATTATTTTTAAAAAGAGTGAGTAACTTAAAATGATTTTAAAAAAGTTTGTGGTATATGTGAAGTGAAATGTGAATTTATGAACACTTGTATAAATATTTTCAAGTAATATTTGTTATACCTTTGACTTGATGTTCAAGACTCAATCTTCATTACTTGAAACTTGTGAGAGAAACTTTGATCCATAGAAGACATATGCGAGAACACTATCTTGATGCTTGATTTCTTTGTTGTTTACTTGATTCTCTTACTTTTTGCGTAGTATAAGTTGCGTAAAAAGCTTGTTCTTGTTGTCCTCATCAAAACATTTAAATGTGCTTGAAGTTTGCTTCTACAACGAATGCTTATAAATATATTGCCTCTATATCAGTTATAGACCGGTCAGAGGTTTAAATGATTAAGACTCAAATTATCTCAAATCCACTCCATTTGACCAAAAGTATAAAATTAGTTCACACGTAAAGAGCAAGGTACATTCTCTGATCTCCACTTTTCACTACAATCATCTTGAATCTTAAACTGACTTAGGCATTGTAGTGCTAACCATGTAGGTTTACGCCGTTGCTGTAAAGGATATCATCACCACCATTCAAGATAATCAGTTCTCCAACTACTTCCTTTTTTTGTTCCTGTGTGGAATAGTGGCACCGTCTTTCAAAATTTACTTATGATTCCCGCAAATTTCCATCTTTAGATCAATATCAATATGAAATTAGATATGTACCAGCAACACAAGAAGCTGAGAGGATAACTCTGGTAGCCATGTCCAAGATCTTTAATACATCTCCTGGATCAAACGATCACCAGATATCACTAATTGATGAATTTCGTGATATCGCGTCATCTAGCACATGTCTTTGTCATATTGCTTTCTACTCGTAGTTGACACTAACATTCGGTGAAGTGAAGATTGATTAGAATTAGGATTTCTAGATTGTGAGAATATTAATGGAATTCTAAACTTTGATATGCTTCAGATTCTTGTGGTCACCATCATTGATCGCAACCTAATTGGATTCCTTATAGATGGTGGAAGCTTTTGCAACGTCCTTTACATAAATACAATGGAGCTCTTAGGTATCTAGTAAGCAAATATGAGTCCACATAGCAAAGAAAATTTATTAGCATTCAACGATTCAATAAAAAAAAGTAAAATAAATATATATTTAAAAATACAAAATAATTAAATAAAAAATACATTTAAAAAACATAAACATTAAAATAAGTTACTAGCAGAAAATACAATAAAAAAAATATTTAAAATATTTTTCAATTGTTGTAATTCTCATTTTCATAACGTTGTCTATATATTCTACCAAATCTTGTTGAAGGTGTCGATGAATTTGTTTATCACGAACATCAAATCTTCTACATAGAAACTTTTAAAAATCAATATTAGAATCATTCGTCAATATTGTTGTGTCATTATTCAAATGATCATAAGAAAAATCAAATTTTGAACAGATTTAAGACATTAAATACGGTGTAGAGCCGCTCTATAATTAGACCACACTTACAAATGTAAACACCATATATTTAATCAAATATTCATCTATTTTGACAGAATGACATAGAATAATATATAACAACCATTAAAAAAAACAGACGATAATCGTACTCTTAGATCATCTTTTGTAGAAAGAGAGAAAAAAAATTAAATAGAAATTCACATGTCACTTCATTTTATAATTTTCGTTTTCATAATTCTTTATCAACTAAAGATAATTTTATTCAAAATGTTGAAACTCAATTGATATATCCTTTCATTTTAATCTATCCTTCATTTCTAAATTTTGGTCAAAGGTCATAATCATCATAGAATATAAATAATCAAAAGCTTACAAAAACGTGGACAGGTGTCTTGAATTCGTTTGGAAAAAATGGGCCAAACTCTACAGGAAGAGTTGCACGTGGAGATAAAAAAAATCTTTATTTTCTTCTGTTGAGGTTAGATTTGAAAATTTGAAATAAAATAAACAAAAACCCAATCCTAGTTGGCACCATCAAAATAATTGAATTGTGTTCTTTTGCTGTTGGTTGAATGATTGTGGTTGAAAAAGAAACGCTATCATTATGCTCAAATAAGTCATAACGTATTTCCCTTTTTATCCTTTTACATCTTGCCCAAATTAGTAGTATTGCTAAAATAATGATTAGGGATAAACCAAAAGATATATAAAAGGTTCAAGTTTAACCTTTACTCTTAAATTTTATTTTGGCCATTTTAACTAGGTCTAGGAGTAGGAGTCTATTATTAGATGATTAATTGCCAGTTGGCACTACAATAATTAAAGATTAGTGGTGCTCTTAACCTCTTTATAGTCTTATTAGTATTAATTTCTTTTGAAAAAATTAGGTGAATTAGGATAAGTGACAAATTTATAGTGATATGTTCGAGAGATTTTGTTAAAATAGTTTATGATATTTTTTTTAAATAAAATTTTCAAAATTGCGTATAAAAATAGTTTATATAAATTTATTTATTTACAAATTATTTTGTTAAGTGTTTGTGTTATTATATAAAAAAAACTGTAAATAAGTTATTTATTCAAACAAATTTATTTATTTAATAAATTTTACTAGATGTTAAATAAAATCAAATTAAATATTGAACCATCTTATAAATTCTATGAATAATTTTATTTGCTTTAAAATTCAATGAATATTGATAGATTTGATGTATTTAATAATTTTTTTCTAAAAATTAAGTGTTAGATTGATTTAAATCATGTTTTACGACTAATTATTAAATGTGTAAGTATATCAAGCTCTAAAAATAACAATAGATAATAACATTTGTTATTGTTCTGGACTGGGCCGACGCTTAGCCCACAACCAAGCAGACCCAAATTTTAATGAGGTTGGACCCAGGAGTACTACGCTGGCAGGTAGAAGTTCCGCCGAGCACAACCTTCCCCACGTCGGGCATAGGCCAACAACTGTCAGGCAGAACCCTCACCGCCGACCAGCCAGACTCTTTGTTCCCCGTCGTCGGGCAGGGTCCAGCCTGCCCGGGGAGCTCCTCGAGCCTCCCCCAACGTTCTCCACGTGTCCCTCACGCAGGGACACGTCATAAAGTAACTACCTACGTCCGGTCTTCCTCCTCCTGGATAGTGCAAAACAGTTACCATAGGGCGAAGAACACGTGTTGGTCTTCACGACGCCACGTCAGCCCTAACAGTTACTAACATTGGGCCTGACAGCCCAGTCCTAATAGTTACTAACATTGGGTCTGACAGCCCAACCCAGCCCTAACAGTTACTAACATTGGGCCTGACAGCCCAGTCCAGTGCTAGGTAACTGTTGGCCCTGCGCTGGGGGCTTACTATAAATACCCTCTTCACTAGAGGGTCAGGTAACTTAACTCTCTTACTCTCTCTCTGTACTTGCTTCCACTCTGCTCGTCACTTACTTTGGCATCGAAGTGTATTTCAGGTACATCCCCTCCTCTTCCATACCTTCGGTGAGCAGCTAGCAAATCAACGACGCGTGGCAGGTCACTGATTCCCTTCTGATCAGGTGAGATCAGTTATATTCATGTAAATGAAATCAATTTGTTGCAGTAGATATTTAGATGGATGAAAATCAGTAAATCCTACTCTTTTTAAGATGTTTAACTAAATTCCACCAAATCAATTATTTGAGTATTACAAATTACAATTGTCTTTATTATTAATAGTGTTAGATATAAGTGTGAGGGGATTAAAGTCTTATATTGTTTATAAATGAGTAAAATATTTGATTTATAAGAAAATGACTCATTTTTTTTAACATTTTAAAATATTCAGTTGAGACGTGGTGTCTCCTTCTTTTATATGGTTCTGAATTAGTTTTATTGATGCTCCTAATTCTCTGAACTCTCCAGCAGTATCTGAGTCATGGTTCGACTGGGTAGAAAATATAGCTAAATTTGAATCTTATTATATGATGTGGGAACTCACACTTGTAAAGGAGAATGTTGCGGAATGAGTGATTAAAATTTTATATTACTAGTGAACGAGTGGAATGAAAGAGAATATTATTGAATGAGTGGTTAAAATCTTATATAATTTATGAATGAGTGGAATGCGAAAAATATTAAATATAAATAATTAAAGTTTCACATCACATATAAATAGATGAAATATTAAATTTATAAAAAAATTCAATTACACATCATTTTAAAATTTTGAATTGAAATACGATGTCACTCTCTTGGAATTCTATTCAGGAAGAAAATGAAAATATTGACATAAATCAATGACTATTAGTTGTGATGAGTAAAAAGTTGTTTGTAATTGGAAAAGATTATGCTCAATGCACATCTTCCCTAAGGACGAAATAGTCTTTAAACTCTGTCAAAATTGAAAACACAGCTGCATTTCGTCATTATTTTGAATGTACTAATGCCTAATAGCATGTACCAATTGATAGTTTACATTGCCTAATCTAAATTAATATCTAATCTTCATATGTAATCTCCGCGTTAATTCCGTGTTGTTTGAATGTAGAAATCATATCAACATTACTATATTTATCCTCAAATCAAACTGAATCACGTGGTACTAGAACCAGATAACAACTCTACATTTAAGTTTAAAAAAATCACATTCTCACATAGTAACAATAATCACTTAATAATAATATCACAACCGACCCTAAAAAATTTATAAAATATAAACTTTTTATCTAACTAACCCCAATCCAATCCCGTTCATTCACTTTCCATCAAATATTTGACCGCCACGTCATCACTTGGCACACGAGCCAAAATTAAAATTCAGATGAGATCAAGTGAACAACCATATATTTTTATTTTTATTTTTTTATTATTTTATTTTTTAATATAAAAAAAATAAGAAAAGAAAACGTATCAAAATTTGGCATAAATAGAGTAGTTGATTGAAGATGCTCCTCTACTACTAATTCTCTACCTTATCACAAGAAACGAATGATTCACATTCTCTAAACACTCAAACCAAAACCACACCCCTTATTTACTATATACACTCCTCTTTCTTATATGGCTTCAGATGAAACTATGATGATGACAACTCAATCTTCGTTACAAAGTGAAGACTATGAAGAAGATGATGATATGAATGATCTTTTTCACCACCATCATCATCTTCATCATCAAAATCACCATAATTTATCAAGGCTTTCAGTTTGTACAAGCAGTGGTGTTGAAGATGATGTTGAAAATCTCGCTTCCGTTTGTATGTCACACTTGTCCATTGAAAGTTTCGAAGCCGACGGAGACGATGAAGCCGAAGGAAAAGATGATCGATTACTGGAAGCCGGTTTGTCTTCCGGTTCTGGAAATGAGTCAGGTAGTTGTTATTCGTTACCGGCGACACCGCCGCGGAGGAGGAATTTGGTTCCGGCGACTGCAGTTGCGGTAGTGAAAGACTATGCGAGTGAGAACGAAGTGAGAAAAGAAACAAAAACGAAGAGCGGTGGTGATTCTGGGAAGAGTAGGAGGAGGAGGAGGAGAAGGAGAGTGGAGAGTGTGTTTGAGAGGGGAAGTAGTTGGGAGAATCTATGGGATGAGAAGAAGAAAATGAAAGAGAATGGAGGGAATAGTGGTGAGAGTGATCAGAGTAACGGAAATGGTGTGATGGTGATTACTAGACCTAAAGGTGGGAATAGGAGTTTGTGTATGGATTTGGAAGAAGTTAAAGCTTGTAGAGATCTTGGATTTGAGTTGGAACATGAAAGAGTTTCTGCTGTTTCTTTCTCTAATTCAACACTTGATAATAATACTAGTAGTGGTGGTAATTCGCCGATTGCTAATTGGCGAATCTCCGGTCCCGGTAAGTCTCAATTATGGCATTAACCGTATAACATTGACACCTTTGAAAAAATATGACTGAGAGACATATATAAATATAAATTATTTATTTTTGAAGTTTCTCAAAAAATGTGTTTTTCGAAGTTTCTAAAAAAATGTGTCTGTATCTGTATGTCTCTGCGGACTCGTAAATATGATTACGTTTAGTATATTTATCTTCTTCTGTTATTTAGGTGATGATCCAAGAGATGTGAAGGCACGGTTGAAAGTGTGGGCGCAGGCGGTAGCTATAGCGTCTGCCAGCAAATACGGCTCATGACACAATTTTCTTCTTACCTCATACCTACTTGTTTTTTTTGGTGAATGTGACTGTACATTATTATATTACGTATAAGTTTTTGTTTACACTATGATCAGATATCGAATGAGTTTCATTGAATTTGTAGAGTTTTTGTCATAAATTTTTCCCCAAGAGTGGTTGATTTTTGGATTCAAGTGAGGGTAACTTTTCATATGTACAGTATACGTTTTTTTTTCTTCATTAACTGCTTACAGAAGGAGTGTTTTGATAAGATTGAGAAGTTGTGATGTATACGAACAATAGAAAGTAATGTGAATGATCAATGAAATTAGAGTAGAAATGTGTAGAAGCATAAAACATGAAGCAATTCTTTATGAGTGGTTGGTAGACCTATATAGTCCGGCTATCTTTTAGTTTATTAACTTAATTTAAAATTTTATATTAAAATTTATTATTTAATAGATTGTAATTTTTTGTGTTGAAATATGTAGTTCGACCGAAGAAAAAAAATGTCAAAATGTCTTTGTGACTCACTTTTATTTGTTTTTAATTGAATTAGTTAGGTTAGTTAGAGTTTGTTTGGTGTGCAAGCAACCTTAACCTATAAATAGAGATGGACCCTATTATTGATGTAATGCAGTTGCATAAGAGAAAAGTTGAATAAATTTCAATTTGAAAGCAGAGACAAATTCTGTAGAATTTCTCCTTCTTCCCTTTTTCTCCAAAATCCTAATTTCCTTTCTTCTCTCGTTATCGATTGTGCAGACAAATCATCTTACAACCAAAGTTGGTTGATTCACTTGAGTAAAGAGTAAAGAACAAGAGGAATAATTGGTATAATTCCAACCTCTGGTATCTACAACACGACCTGTGTGATTCTTAGGAAGCATAGCGTAATGAATCATCTGAACGAGCATTTTCAAATGAGTCTCCTAACTATGAGAATTTGTACAAGCAGATGAAGATTATTTTTTACTGCCAAAATCTTTGGGATCTTGTGAAGGAATGAGTAACACCACTTGCAGAAAATGTGAGGATGAATTATAAAGAGAAAAGAAAGGAAAAGGGAAGTGGTTCGACAACAAAGGTAAAGGAGGCTACAACAATTTGACTGGTAGAGGAAACCAACAAGAAGGAAATGTGCTGAACTAGAGAATACCCTCATACCGAAGTAACTACAGAGGTGGTGGTGCTGGTAAAGGAAGAAGTGCTGGTCGAAAATTAACAAAAGTCACATTCAGTGTTTCAATTGTTAGAAGTATGATCATCACTCTAGTGATTGTCTTGAAAAACAAAAGAATTGAGATAATGATGCAAATTTTGCAAAGCATGAAGAAGAAAAGATGTTGTTAATGGTCACAACAAGAGATGAAGAAAGATTCAAGGACCAATGGTACTTGGACTCAGGATGCTCATCACACATGACTGGTAGGGAAGATTGGTTTGTCAACATAAAACCCTCATGAAGAACATGGTGAAATTTGCAAATGACTATACTCTAGCAGCGGAAGGTATTGATGATGTTCTGATTATGAAGAAAGATGGAAAAAGGTAAGTAATTTCCAATGTGTTGTACATACCAGACACAGAGAGTAATTTGCTTAGCATAGAGAAGTTGGTTGAAAATGATTACAAAGTGTCGATCGAAGACAAGATGATGAGAGTTCTCTACTCAACTGGAAGGTTAATCTTGAAGGCTCCAATGTCACAGAATCGAACCTTCACGATTGAACTTAATGTGATGGAGCACAAATGCCTTGCAACTGCAGCTAACAGGGATGAATGGATATGCAACTATAGACTTGGTCATCTCAACTTTGAAGACATCAGAGATATGAAAAGAAGAAATATGGTTTCAGGGTTACCAGAAACCGACATTCCAAATTAAGTATGTGAGGAATGCATGCAGGCAAAGCAGCACAAGAACAGCTTCAGTAAGGATGTAGGAAGCAAGTCGAAGGAAAATCTACTTTGATGTATGTTGTTCTATCTAAGTGGATTCGATTAGAGGTAACAAATACTTTGTCACATTCATAGATGATTTCGATCGGAAATTATGGACTTACCTGATCAAGAAGAAAGGTGAAGTGATTGAGGTATTGGCTAAGTTTAAATCTATGGTCGAAAGATAAAGTGGTCGAAAGCTCAAGATTCTAAGGACTGATGGTGGTGGAAAATATGTGTCAAAAGACTTCGACATATTATGTGATAAAAAAGGGATTGTGCATGAGATGGTGACACCCTACACTCCACAGTAGAATGAAATTGCAGAAAGGAAGAACAAAACCATCATGAATATGGTGAGAAGTATGTTGAAAGGCAAGCATCTACCCAAATAATTATGGGGAGAAACTGTGTCGACTACAAGATACATACTTAACAATGTCTAACGAAGAAGTTAGAAGGAATCACATAAAAAGAATGTTAGTATGGTGTCAAGTCTAGCTTAAGTCATCTTAAGGTATTTGGATATGTAGCACACAGACATGTGTCTGATCAGTTGAGAAGAAAGCTTGATGATAAGTCAAGTCAAATGATCCTAATATGACATCATTTGACTAGAGGAACAAGTTGTTCGACCCAGTGAACAAGCAAGTAGTGATCAGCAGGAACATAACCATATATGAGCATAAGGAATGAGATTGGACTAAAAATGTCAAGAAGGATTCAGTGAGAATCCTATGTGAAGAACCAACAAGTGAAGTCAAAAGAGAAGTTCGACAAGAAGAAGCCAGAGGTCAAGTAAGCACAAGCATACCTTAAAGAACAAGATACATGTCTGTCGCTACTGCGAAAATCGGCGCCGGCTGAACAGAAGAGTCACCACCGTGCGTTATTTATCCCACGGGAGGGAAAGGAAACGCTCAGAGTAAACCTCGCACAACACGGGAAAGGTATGGTCGTCGCAACCAAAACCTGGATTCGGGAGTCGGTTACGCAAGGGGAAGGTATTAGCACCCCTCACGTCCGTCGTACTCGACGGGATCCACGCTTGTTTTCGGGTATGGATTGTTATTCTATCTACTCTAAAGGTCAGGGGTTAAAAAGAAAAGAGAATGAAAATAAAATGAAATGGCAAAGTATCGCACTTTATGCCTACGTATTCTCGTCTGGAACGAGAAATCAGAGTCAACGTAGTTCGCCTACCTACGGGAAAGGAGGGGAAGGTTGCTCGCTAGGATATCGCATCCTATGCCTACGTACTTTCACACGGCATGAAAGATCAGAGCAAACGTAGTTCGGGCCACGTACGACACAAGTCTGTCCTGGTTGATTTTATTCCTTCTGAAAAAGGTTTTTTTTGATTAACAGTCCAAGCGGACGAAAATGACGTCTTGATGAGTTCACATTCTTTTACGGAAGAAGCGTCTTTTATTGTGTTTGAAATCTTTATGTGTTTTTCTGTTTGTTTTGAGAAAGAAAGAGACAGAACTCTAACCTACGGTTGCGAAGAGAAACAAACTAACCTAATGTTATCATGCATGGGTTAAGACCTAGTGTCTATCATGCTCCTCTCTTGCACAGAGAGAAACAGAGATCCTAAGGGAATAGACAGAAACAGAAACAATACCAGATATATACAGTAAAACAGTAAAATGCATGAATGCAGCAATACAAGCGAGGCAAGGGAGTCCCACTCAACCTCGAACCTAGAAAACAATAGGCAAAAGTGAACAGACTTCACTTTCAACCCAACAGGGTAAACAGCAAACAATACAGTCCAGAAAACCAATCAATACATCAGCAATGAAGTACAACAGCAAAAGAAACAACATCAGCAGCTCTGAATCAACATCTGGTTTCAAGTAATCTCCAATCAGCTTCAGGCTTCAACAAGCATCAGTCTCCATCTTCATGACCTTTAGGCAAGGGCTTTGATCATCATTCTTCCATCTGCAATGGCTTTTCTTCAAGTTCAAACCTCCAGGATGAGGAATTAGTCACAAGAGTGAATTGGGTGTTAAGCAATCAGTTGACTACCAAGGGTGGTGAACAGACTGCTTCTAACACAAAAGACATTTTCTCTCAAGAGTTCTATCTCTTAGACACTATCACCAAGCCTTCCAAAGGAAGGGGGTGAGTGTCTTAGAGAGACTCTGAATCACAGAGAAGAATGGATGCAGACAAGGCAATCCATGTTTGAGAAACAAACTTTCTGACCTAAAGCTCTGCCTAGCTCCTAAACCCTAGTCTCCTCAGCATCTACTAGCAAGAAACTCCTCTTGATCTTCAACATCTGGATCTCCAATGGCCTTCATCTCCTCAAGTTTCAGCTCTCCCAAATCCCCAGACAATCCCAATGCCCACACAAACAAGCAATAATTCCCCAGAGGGCACACCACACCAGTCAATCAGATATATACAGTACATTAATAGCAGTAGGGGAATCCTGACTTTTCTAAGGGGATCTAATAACTACCCATAGCCCCTATAGTCCCATAGCTAAACTATTCAAACCCTAAGTCCTAAGGGAAATGAATTGATTCTCCTAAGTCATCACCTAAAAAAACCCTAGTTTGTTCATGTTGTTCACACCTACACTAAGCACCTAAATTTAATTTCTAAAAAGGGAACTAAATTGTATCTACAAGTTTGATGTCTAAACTAAACAACCTAAAAAGAATGGTCAAAAAATATTAAAGCATCTAATAGAACAAAAATTAACAAAATCATGTATGAAATGAAACCATTTAAAATGTTATTTATTTAGAAAATATGGGAAAAATATCAAATAAAAAATAAAATGCAATTTTTATTTTTTATAATTTTCTAGACATCTTAAAGAAAATAATGCAAAAAGAATGAATTAAAAATGATTATTTTGCTATTTATTATGAATTTTAGAAAATGCATGAAAAAATTAAAGAAAATAAAAGAAAATATAAAGTAATAAGAGGGGGGGGGGGGTGAGAAAAGCAAGAAAAACAAACTAAGCGCGTTGGGCTTATGAAACTCAGGGGTGTGGATAGCGCTCTGAGCCCAATCCCCCCAACTTAATGAAACGGTGCGTTTGGGAT